ACTGATGCCCTCTCCCTTGTATATAACTTGTGTGATAAATTCAATTGTGTTTTAGACATACCAAATCTGAGTGCTACGGGGGGGGTGTGTGGTAGGGCTTCTCTCCTATGCCACATAGGTATGTGCCGCCCCAAAGGATATAGTTTTTGCGCCGTTTCGTTCTGAAAACGGGTATAGACTTGGCCCATTTTGATCTGGAATTCGAGGAAACTAGGGGAGTGTTTAACCGTGTTTTAATTCCAAATGAATAAGAAAACAACAGGAATATGAGAATTCAAAGTTAATTTTAAGAAACTGGCTTTTTTGTTGCCATTCCTTGTTGTAGTGATGACATAATTTCGCAGGGGCCAGGTCTGAAAACGTTTGTGAAATTTTACATTTTTCTGGTCTGAAATAGGGTCAGGATTTGGAGAACCGAGCGGCTCACCCCACCAAGAATTTCCAGGTGTACCCGTCTCCCCTGGGCATCACGTTTACGGCAAACTTGAAATAGTTCAAATGACCATACGACAGTAATCATATTCATAATCTTAAAAACACTTCTCTTCACGCTGACAATGAAAAACGACAAACATTACAAATGCTGGCTTCATGGAAGAATATCACTTGGTCATCCCTGCCGTTAGCCAAAAAAAACGAGAACAAGATTAGAATTGCGCCTCAGTCATAAATGTTTTAGTTTCTCTCACCCTTTCGACAGTTATCCCAACTGTTCACACCATTATTTTGGTGAACTTTTTATGTCATTCACCGTCGGTCTCGAATAGCAAATAGAATATATGAAAGCAATCGAAAACTTTTGAACCCAATTAAGACACAAGAGGCTTACATTCCTTGCGTTCACATATACTTCGTTTTGGTCTTCCTCCGTCGGGTGTGAATTCTGATATACGGGACTGCGTCGCTGTAGGCTCTCATAGCGTCGTTGTGATCGAATGTTTGAACCTCGCGATCGCAGCTCCAAGTGTTCAGCTGTTTCGGATTCCCCTGAGGTGCTGCTACTGTTAACGTACTTTTGTCCCTCTGCCTTGGTGCTTCTTTTTTCTAATTGTAAATGGCGCTTGTGCTTCCAAACCAGGAGAGCTATGCCCATGATTAACAACGAAAGGGCGACACTCAACATAATTACTGCAAGAGGATGACTCTCTTCACATGTACCGCCTGAAAACACATCAATAGAGAGCTTACCGTAAATAATCGATTAAGCGCCGCTACTCGAATAATCGCCGCAGCTTTACCGAAAATATTTCAGTACGCGCTGCTCTCGAATAAGCGCCGCTGTGCTAATTTGGGTATTTACAAATGGCGCCCCACCTTGGTTACGATGCGTTATATATAAAGACATATCAAAACCATATCGCTTGTGAAATAAGACCTCGACCAACTCATGAGTTCTAAAGTTTTAATGTAGGGAACCTCATGAAACCGGGTTCAAATAACAGTTCAAGGTGTACAATGTAGGTGTATATGTATTAAATTGTGCATACCTAGTACGCGCCGCTCTTAATTCTCTCTATATTCCCCTCAGGGTTTTACCCGTAGTTGAAATAAGAGCCGCTCTCTAAGCGCCGCACCTATAACACGGAAAATGAAATAAGTGCGGCGGCGCTTTATCGATCATTTACTGCAAGCAAAGGGATTTTCGAGCGAGCGACGCACGACAAGTGAAAGTGAGGCCTTGTGCCTTTTAGACCTTGACACTACCAAATTTGTATTACGTTTATTTTACTCCTATACTCCTTATTGCCTGAAAATGCGGTAAAATGCGTTAGGCGTCAAGCAAAATTTAGCAGGTACATATATACAGATTTATGTAGCCGAGGTCATTGTTTTTGCTGCTGTCAATAGATTTCGTAAGCTCAGTAGCAATTAACAGTAAATGCAACCCATTCACGGTGGTCGGTTGCTAGGGCTTTTGCTCCCACACCTCTCAAAACTGAGAGTTTAAGGCCATAGAGAGAAGTAGAATGCATCGAATGTAACAAAACTTGGCAAGGAAGTAAGTTGATAAATTACCTATTTATTGGTGTTTATTTCATCCCATGTGACTTCTATTGTGACGTCATAAATGATGTCCAAATTTGGCATCAGAAAGAAAATTCAGGAAAGAAATGCTAAAAATTTTACATTAGTTTTCTGTATAGAATTCTATGATTTCTGGTGAAAACCCCATCTCAATCGGATGAAAAGGCGCAAAGTTACATTTAATTAAAGAAATTCAAATTTCCCGCCAAATGACCATATATGGTCAAACTTTAGGGGTATTTTAACGCGAAAACAATGAAGGTAGTCGCAACGGAGAAAAGACAAATTTGCATAAAAACAAAATTGTAGTTTTTTGAGTTTAGGATGTGTGGTCTATGACGCGTATTTCGTCACGAATTACGTCATTTGGACGTCATAATGACGTAATTTGTGACGAAATACGCGTCATAGCACCACATATGCCGAATTCAAAAAACTACAATTTTGATTTTATGCAGCTTTGTCTTTTTTCCGTTGTAAATACATTTATTGTTTTCGCGTTAAAATACCCCTAAAGTTTGACCATATATGGTCATGAGGCGGGAAATTTGAATTTTTTAATTACCTGTAACTTCACGCCATTTTATCCGATTGAGATGGGGTTTTCACTGTAAATATTGTTTTTCTGTAACAAAAATGTTTGTAGCATTTTGAACACTGCTTATCAAATTTTTAACGTTGTTACTAAAAATAGGTGTCACTTATGACGTCATACTTTCAAGAAAAGTCAAAAATACCTTAACGATTGTAAAAATGTAAAGAAAACTTTTCTCCAATTAAGATGTTCTAATGTTTTGCTTCATTTGAAATATAAACTACCCCTCTGTAAGCCAGAAATTGAATTTAAGAACCAAACGGGAGCAAAAGCCCTAGCAACCGACCATCGTGATTGTCTATTCCAGGTTTAACCAAACGTACCTTTTAAGTCTGCAGGCAGGTATTTTGTTGTCTCATTGGTACAGAATTCACTTCTATAATCTATGAAAGATAAACATCCGTTTTATTCCGCTGTGGTCAAATATATAGGGTTACCATTTCACCTACTGGTGAGGATCGAAGGTGCTGGACTTCTTCTGGGTGAAAAATTCCTATGCCCTGGGCGGAATTTGAACCCACGACCGCCGGTAGAATAGTCGGGTGTGATTACCACTACACCAACATGACAACCATGTTGACAACATGGTTAATTTAGGTATTGAGGGCCAACCTCGTTCCCACGGTTCTCTCACTACACAACCCTGAGAACGAGATTGATTGAGGGCCTTTATGTGGGCCATCAGGGCCATAACAGGCTGCTATTTTTTTTTCTCCAAAGCCGCAATCAGTGCATGAAGAAAGTTTCTATTCCATGCAGTTACCTTTATCCTTCTGTTAACTACCAGTGGTGGGTGGCAAAACAATCCAAATGGCAAGGAAATTCTTCTCAACATCAAAGTCATTTTGTTTTTATTGATCGTGAAAATGAGTGTTATTAAGACTGACGTCATATCGTACGTGGTGGTACTGAGCTAATCAAAGATTCCAATTACATTTTTAACTGAGCGCGCTGATCATAATGCTAACCATACTTTAAACTCAAGAAATACAAAAATGCAATAAAAATAAACCAGTAAACTAGCAATAACCTTTGTTAGTACCTGTAATGCACACCAAAGAAGCCCTGTCATCAGTACCATAACAGCTGCGTCTCAAACGCCTGTGGTCGCACTCTTGTAATGCTGTCTCATTTCCTATACAGTGCACATTGTGTATCCATATGTTTCCTCGCTTCCCATCTGTTCTCTGAAAATCCGAGGACCTAACTGCTACTAGAGCCCCTGGAAATCCAAGCTGTCGGCAAACTACGCTGGCGTCCTTTAAATCCCAGGAATTCCCACACACTTCATCCCAGGTTCCATTGTGAAACATTTGCACTCGGCCTTGAAA